CATGTGGCCACATGCCCATGGAGACATCTTCGGACAGCACTGGCTTTTCAGCTTTGAAACGGAGATGAGCACCGCCCCCTAGAGTCAGGAACTATGAGCACATATGTGCAAGGGAAACCTTTACCTTTACCATAAATATGTATGTACTGTAAGCACGCAAGTAAATATATATATGCATACATATAAATAAAAATGGGCGTAAGTCTATAAAGTAAGCAAACTACCTTGATTATGAGGAGATATGTAACATTGGTTTTATATTCCCTCTTCATTTTTGTTTCTGTCTCCCTCTCACTTGATCATTAAAAAAGTTTGCTAATATTTTGACATATTTCAAGCAGTGTTGAGGTTCTTAAATATTTCTTGCCCTGGGGCTTGCAATTTCCACCGTTGACTTTTTGATGGAATAGATGCTTCTCTATAAAAAATATTCCATATGACATTGTATTGATTAAAGTATATCATACTCTAAATGTGGAATATGTTTTACTACTGTACTCCATCAAAATTAGAAATAAAATCTTAAAATATACTTTTTCTAGATGGAAATACTGAGGGAAGCACAGGTATCTTGTAGCAAAAGGCTAACTAGGTTTGTCAAACTCAAATAATATTTTATTTTGTTTCCTAGTTCAATCACACAGGACAAGGAAGTATCTGCAGTCAAGCCATAATGCTGATTACTGATGGTGCGGTGGACACATATGATGCAATATTTGAAAAATATAATTGGCCGGATAGGAAGGTAAATCTTACTATGCATATCCATGAAATAACTGGATCAAATGTTGATCAAGATTTGCATTCTCACAGATATTTTGTAATGGATGGATCTATATTGTCAGGCATCACTTTGTAAATGAAGTTTTAAAAAGGTTTTCTAATAATACTTTTATTATTTTATGATTTTTTGCCAAACTGTTTAAAAATGGAATATTCATTTCCATACTGGATAAATTTGGTAAAAGGATATGTTCTAGAAAACATATGAAGCATTCTGACTGTAGGATATTGAATGGACAAAGTAGGACATAATACTTTCTGATTTTCAATAGATCAGTTGAAAAATAGAACAATTATTACCCTTCCCCAAAAGGTAGAAAAATCTGCATCACAAAAATAGTGTAACAGCTAAGATAAATTTGTTTAAATATGGCGATGGCCATTTAGATGACCTATAGCTGGTATAATTTCAATAGTCAAATAATTCATTTATTTATTACATTTGTATCCTGCCACAGTCTCAAAACTGCACTGAGATATAATATGTATCAATTTGCATGTAGAAATACTTGTAAATATCAGGATAATATGGGAATATATGATGCAATAATCTATATGCATGATCAATTTGGGGCCTACAGAAGTAGCTTCTGGAAACTTTATGGCTCTGTTCTCCTGTTTCTTAATCTCTGAATTGAAATAGGCAGCTCTTCAAGTGGAGATTATACAGTATGCAAAATTAAGCACAAGGGGATCCTAAAATTGAAGCATTTCTCTATACAATAACGGAGACCTTATCAATTAGGGAATTTAATTTAATTTCCTTCATGTATGATCTGGGATTGCTGGATTTCAGTTTGGTTAAACTGAAATGAGTGTGCATGGGCTACTTTTCTATGATTTGTATATCAACTCCCTTGTATGGTTAACTCCAGAAACAACTTTGCAATGAATTAATGAAAACACATTATGGGGGTAGTATGAAAGAAGTATCACTTTTCATTGCGTGTGTGCTGTGTGGTTAGGCAAGATAGACTGCCAGTTAATACCTATCTGGTTAATTTATGTTTACATCAGTCATATTTTCAGATTTTGAGAAGTCTTATTAGTAAACACTTTGATAGAATTACCATTGTTCATATTTGTTTATGGGTGAATAAAACAAACTTTTAAATATCTTAAATAGTCCCTTTACTACAGCCAATGGAAACAAATATTTAAAATTTTATGGAACTTTCATTTAGAGAAATTATGTGGTTGGAAGATAATTTCTTATATAATAATTGGATCTGAGTATTGCAATAGGAGATTTGACAAAGGTTTGAATTATTAATTGTTAATAACTAGAAACTAAAATAGTACAGTCTGGCTATTATGTGTACATAGCATTTCTGAATCATAATTATGTTGCTATTAAATAATAGAAACATTATTAATATTTAAAACAACCAGAGCAAAAAAAAATAAGATCACACATACAAGTAAATGATTTGATTTGGATTACTAATTACTTTCTCTAAAAAGAGTCAGAAGGATGATCATGTGCTATTTAATGTATCATCTAGTTTGCCCCTCTGTTATAGTTTCTTGAGTGCAAAGTTAGATCTGTACATATTTTCTGGGCTTCATTGTGCTATGAAGGAGTATCAAACTCGCAGTGTCACGTTGTTGTCATGTGATGTATTATGCCTTTGCCCCCCCTCGCTAAACCAAGTGTGGGTATGGCCAACGTGTGACACATCTGGCCCACGGGCCGTGAGTTTGACGTCCTTGTGCTATGCAGTGATTTATGTTTGATTCAAAGAGGTACTTTTGAGTGCATGGAAGTGCAACTGCAACACTGGTTTGCATCTCACTAAACCAGTTTTGTAATAGCCTCTGTAATAAAGAGTTTCTTACAGTTACCTCAGACGCCTCTCCAACCGAGCCCGCAATGCCTGATCCCAACCAGTTAGGCCTTCTTAGGCCCAGCCTTCCCCAGCCCCAGGCCGCCTACGGGCCAGTTCCAAATCCGCCG